CACCCCACCCCCACTCCCCCCCATCCCAAAAGTTTCTCAGCGGATTTGGGCTGTACTCAGCAAGCGCAGTACAGCTTCCAATGCAGACCTGAAAAAATACTAGTGGATGGTTGTTTTCTGACTGGTCGGCAAAGACCGCCGACCGGTTGGCCCTACTGGTCGGCTGCAATACGGTCAGCGGTCGGGGTCGGCGGTCGGCAGGGATGCAACCATGCTAGAGGCCAAAATTCGACATTTTTCATATGTGGGTACTCAGGCTGTTACAGCCCGCCAGTTGGTTGAGTGGACGCGTGAGCCTCCCTAAGCAGCGTTGTACAGTTTGGCCCAGGCCGTGGCAGTTGTGCCTGGGCACATACACAACGCAGGGCCGATACATCACGAAGTGGCTACAGGCCTACACAAAAGCAGCACTGCCAACGTACATACCCCGGGTCCTGAGCAAATGCAGCAAACGGCCCAAGTCTGGAGACTCAGGCCGTGTCCAACTGTAAAGGGCCCAGGCCCTCAACTGTAGCACAGGGCCTGGGCGCAGGTACTGGGGCCCGACCGGAAGCTACTGTAAGCTTCCAACCCAGGCCGCACGCAGCCAAGCAGAGGCTGCCACACCCATATAGGAAGGAGGACAGCCAGGGTCTGGCATTCTGGCCCACGCAGGCAATGCAGTCACACTGCATGCTGCGTCAGCGACCAGGGCGCGTATGGGCGCTTGTGAGGTGAAGAGGGGTGCTGCTGGGCAGGGGTGCGCTAGCAGCCATAGCCGGGCTGCAGGGCGCTAGGGGGTAAGAGGGCGATCGGTGGTCTTCAGGAAGGAGATGAGAGTGGGTGGTCAGGGTCTGATGAGGGGAGACGAGATACGTACCTGGTACATGAAGAGAGTTCGGCTACGGTGTTGACGTCATGTACATTGGTCTTCAAGAGCCGCAGTGAGCCTGTTGCGTGAATGCTGATGTGGGTAGGATAGGCGAGTAGTGTAGGCTGGGCGCTGGGCGCCAGACAGAGAGGAGCGACATTGGATAATGTGTTGGTGTGGCCTGAGGGTTTGGACATTGGCTCATGACGTCACTGTATTGCTCTTATTTGGATGGAATCTTGGTGCATTTGTGCTCTCTGGTTTGTTCTCTTCTTTTTTTTTTTTTTTTTTTTTTTTTCTGCGCACATGACGCACCGCCCACAGTGCACGCACTGCGCACAGATCACAGTGTGCGCGCTGGAATTCCAGCGCACAGCGCGGGGCCCTGCACTGCACACTGGTGCACCGCAACTATTGAAAGAATGCCTTATGCAGATCTATAATATAGGCATTTGGAAGAAGTGGAGGAGGAGGCAGAGGAAGAGTAGTAGGAAGGGAATGACGAGGAAGACAACAAAGAATGCCATATAGATATACAATATAGGCATTGGGCAATGGTGTCGGAAGTATAGCCGGAAAGATATGTGCAAGAGATGACTTATGCAAGGAAAATAAGCAACAGCGAGATGACAAATCCAGAATACACCATCACATTAAAAGCCAGATAGTCACACTGTGTCCAGAGAGCAGCATTGC